AAAATCCATGCTTGGACAACCAGGTTTAATTCTGCTGTACATTCACATGTTTCGCGGCCAACAAATTCACTGCTGAATTTTTCTCCCCTGTTAGGACTCATCAGGAATACCTGAAATGTTTTACCCTTTGCCGAGACTTGAATGGTGAACCTTCGCGTTCAAAGTCGAAGTGCTAAGCTGCATTGTTCATTTCCCACTTAAACAAGAACATAAGCAATGATGTCTATGGAAGTTTTATTATACCTTGGTTACTCGATCAAGAATTTAATCTTTCAGTCGTGTTTTGCATTGGACTTTATTGTGGCGCACAACATATATCATATCATATCATATCATATGGCCACCGTCTTCGTACAATAAGATTCCCGATGTTCCTGAAAAACTTGTGTTGCATTTTGATGAATGACTACTTCAAGAAGGCGCTTACACTTTATTGTTTTCTTTTTCATCTAATAAAGCGAAATATAACTAATCTGAGATAGTACACTCTGGGGAAGATTAGAAACGGAGAAGTTTCCTGTAAGTATTGCTGCGGATGTTTTGACAGAAAGCGGTGGAGGACTGGTGAATAGATGAGTGAATATTGCTGACGATGGTTGACAATGGAATCGGGATGGGACAAGTGAATATGTAGCTAAAGTACAGTCATTGCTAGGTTCGTGTTCAAGGTGGACGTCAATTGGCAATTGGCACCAATGGAAGCAGGAAAAGGGTGAAACAATGCACGAAACCGTAGGTGAAACCTGTATTATCCCAGGAGGAGGAATTTATCATCTTGAGTTAATCTACTCTGAACAGCTATGAGTATAATTGATGTTCGAAAAACATGTCTCAGACAAACTAAATCTCAGTAGTCTGTCCAACATAAATGTTTGCCAAACACATTTGAACCAATTGATTTATTCCATGACACCAACAGGGTGAAAAATGCTGGTCAGGTTTGCAAAACGCACATCTGAAGCACATCAACCAATCACAGATACAGGCATTCACTCCTACGGATACTAATGGAGTTTACTGGAAGTTGCTGATTGTAAACGTTACTGATTACAGCGTCTAGCTAGATCGTTTGAGAGTGTAATAGAATGTAAAATACAGCACAGAACACAGTCTATGAGAAAATCCAGATTCGGGATGCAAATCTTGAAGCTGATATGAGTGTTGGACATCTGGCGTGTATGCCACGGTAACATAACTAATCAGTTATCACGTAGAACGTGTGATCAATTCAGAGCTACCGTCGATGCAAACACAGCCCTCTATTCACGATGCACACTTACTTCAATTTCGTCTTCGACTCAGGTTTTCGGTTAAACTATTAAATCGGGATATTCATTTGATTATGTATTACTGATTTTCCGTAGATTTGAACAGAACGTACCGTTTGATTGGGTACTGTCCAAGTGATCCTCGTTTAGATGAAGTTGAAGCTCATTCCGACAGCTTCGAAAGAAGCCGAATCTGGTAGAGATTAAACCACTAGATGATGGGATTCCCCTTGAGAACGAATATGCAATTTGCGATCTCTCACTTGCGTACCGGACTGGCACTTGATGGAGTACAACTAAGCAGATTTACCTACTGACATGATTCGCAAACAGACAAAAGCGTTTACTCCACAGAGGACAATCATTGCTCTGATCACTACCCTGGTCACACGACCAAACATGGTGGGATTTTCAGGTTTGTTTGTCGGATAGTATCAAACCCATTAAATCCAAAGCAAAGCGCAAGTTGGTTTTCACTGGCAATGAATTTGATACCGGCCATTGAGAGTAACCTTGATTACTCGAAAAATAATGCATACATTAGAAGACCGAATCGTGCTATAAAGTGACCCAATGAATGCTGACCACTCTCAAGTGCGTCCACCATTCAAATACTTCAGACGATAAGTCCTTATTATTTGCCACTCAGATAATCACCATATATACCAGGTAAAACAGTAACTATCTGAAACCCAGTAGGACGAGAGTGGTAGGGTGGTGGATGTATTGTATATGGTAAATATATGATGCGATACGAACCGATTCAAGTATCTAGCTATGCTAGGTCGTCCAATGCGTTTGTGCGTGCATGCGTGCGTGCTAGTGATTACGGACCAATCAAGTGATGACGTTTTATTGTTCAAGCAAACACCCGAGAGGATTCGGGACTGTTCTCGGATTTAGCATGCTTCTCATCTGCTAACACCTTCTGGGTNTCCCCCCCCCCCCGCACCCCGTGGTATGTGGTGATTGTAAACTGAATATCGGACGATGAAAGTGATTGACGTGCTTTCGTTCCATTGTTCTGTTTTTTTTCCAAAGACAAGAAAATTGCTTCTATTTGAATAAAAATATTCAAAGTTAATTATTTACACCATACATAATTTGGACTTTTATTCGTGTGATTCTGCTATGCAATGAAATCGGATCTTTCTATTTCATCGGTGGTCATTGTGCACAACTTCATTCATTGTACTTTTCAATCTGTTCTCAGTGACTCGACTTGTTCGTTTACAATTCACCGCATATTCATTACCCAAATGAGCTTCTAAACGGACGGTATCATTAGATATTTTCAAGTTGAGTTTGGTAGTCTTAATACCGATCGTTTCGTTGGTTACTTTGAACATGGAGAACGGATAAGTTGTTCAAACAAACTGGAAGAATGGTATCCTTATTTGGTTTCAGTATTATATATTTGTGCAGCTGTTGGCTATACAAAGAACAATCTAGTGTATCACATGATTTAGTAGCCGAAGAATCATAAACATCAAAAGAATGCGTGCTCCTGAAACAATGGTTGCCGCCTGATCAACGAAGCTGCGCCATTTTCGACCCGGTTACTGCTTATATGAGAAACTAACAGATAACGCAGCATTTACTTGGAGTGTAAATGGTGAACAATAGGAATAGAATCTCGTAGATGGTCTATCATCGTTTTCATTGAGCCATATTCAACCTCTTGGGTCCCCAATAATAACGCAGATCCAAGAATCCGAGACACATACGGAAGGTCACACAGTACTGAAATACACTACGGGCCGGCAGGATACATTTTGAGCCTAATCGAGGGCAAAATATCCACGTAGGAGGATGTACATCATTCCAGGAGCATTACTATATGGTAAACAAATGATAAATGACCCGACGACTTGGAAAGTAATCTTTCAGACACACAGGGTTGCATTCACATTCATCAAAAGATATTTCACAGTGCCCCCTCCCCGGAAATCATGCCTAAACAATTGGATACCTTACAGGCTTCCTACGGATTGACAAAAGCCAGATGTGCGGCCTCAAATAGGTCAGGGGAAGTTAGAGACGTCTCTTGACTCACGCTCCCTTCAGACTTCGCGATCTTCAAGGGGATAGCTTGTCTTTTCAAATGAAGCGGTTTTGAGTGACCATTGGCTAGGATTCATAAGGTTGACGTAAACTAGTCTATCAGGTCCGAGCCTCGATCCAAGTACTCGCTTTCCTACCTTCCCGGCGAACCACGTTTCTTTGGGCAGGACAACGAATAAACCCTCATCATTGAAGCTTTTTCGGGCTCTCCTAGTTCCAGTCCTATAAGAGTTGTTATACGTTCCGTAACTGAAGAGTAGGTACTTGCGAACAGAGAATACCCTTTCCTCCTCTCCACAGAAAAATACCATATGTCATGTGCTATAGATTCGCGAACCTTTTGTGCATCAAAGGGGTTCATACATTTTCAATCCAAAGCCCGTTAAGACAGGTGATGTATGCAGGTTTTGTACGGCACCTAGAACGATTGGCAACTAATCAATTAAAATTACCTGCCTGACCAGAACGTCCAAGCATCTAAACACAATCTGCTTGCTATGAATAGTGGGCCAAGACACCAGGTCCGCGCTTGATGCAGATCAATCTTTTTAAACTACCAAACATTTTCTCGTGAACGGTAACCGATAAACCGCCAATGGAGTCGTTGACCCTCCTCTTTATTCTTCCACTCTGCGATTTTTTGCAATGGGATGGGTATTTTGTTCCCCATGCACTCAAATTTGGGCGATATAAGAAACCAAATCTTTGCCTTTTTTATCCTGGTTATAATAAACTGTATTTATTTATTTTGTATGCGTTGGAGTATGCGTTCAACTTCTATCAGTCAAATAAATCCCATTCTGGCTTATGAAATGAACCGTCACTGTGGATTCCAGGAAATCACGATTAACAACCAGAAGAGTTAATGACTTGCTCTGTTCTACTATCATGAGTATCACCAACCACTGAGCTTATCGTAGCGAATTTCCTATCGACGTATGCTAATTTAATGTTAACCGGTTTTCCGCCATAAACTTCCTCTGACTCACTTGCATTTAAACTAACAGGACTTGTTTTCGCAAGATATAAATTGGACTGAGCGGTTGAACGGTCTGTATTCAAAACATTCCTGATCATCAACAGAAGAGGATATTCGTGGACAGAACTAACTAATATTAACCATCGATTTTCTGTGCCTTCAATCAGCTGTGAACGCACCTTTTTGATCATGTCAAATAAAGAAACATGATTGTTGAACTGAGTCATTTGAACTTGCTCAAGGCCCCATTTTCCATTGTTGAAATACAATGCATTTGTTAAATTGCAGATCTGTTCAATTACTCTCGTACGGTGTTCAATCAATGCTATTCTCCATTTCTCCTTCTTACACCACCCCGAATACCACTGCCCTCCTTTCACGCAGACTGGTCAGTTCTTATCAAACTCTGTTTTGGAATTTGTTTGGAAATAGTCAAGTCAGTCATTTCGAGGTTCGTTCGGTAAACGCAATCACGGGGACACGTGAAACAATGCCGGCCGCTCGGAACACCATGATCGTCGGTGAAATTTTGCTACTAATCTATCATGCAATGGCTATCATCGTTCTGGTCAATATGCTAATCGCTATGATGTCCAACTCATTTCAAACTATTCAAGTGAGTTCCCGCCAAGGAAACCGTCAAATATCCCAAGACTACTAACCTCACGTTACTGAGTATGCAGCTGTAGATTTTTAGACATTTTCGGACATCATTCGAACACATTTTGCAAAACTATGTTCCCCTAGCGAATGGTGACATCCAATGTTTAAAAAGAATTTTTGCGATGCCTATCATCGCTCTGTCTCATCATTCGTCCTGATCAATAGTTGTGAATGTCAATCCCATTTTGTCAATAGTACCCACCGTGTTCGCTCAATAATGGCACACCAACAGCATGCTTTGGTGCACCGGATGATTTGAGAAAAAAAACGTGATCTGTCATGATCTGTCAAGCACACTAGACGATGCCATTTCCCATCTGTGAACAAAAAGAAGCTGGAACTGATTTAATATATATTAACAAACACACAGTCGTGTCCTGAAATAAAATCTGCTAGAACTGAGAGAACTATTTATCACTATGAACACACTGAGACGATAGATTTATTATTTGGAGAAATATTTGCAACCAAGTATTGAAAATGATTACCCCTAAAATATTGGTACATTGCCGAAAAGATTGTGCTCTCAAGCACACATAATCATTCAAGAACTATTCATGGACTGTATTTATTAAATATACTCTATTATACACCGGATTATGAGTAATAGTAGGCAATGCTGACCACGTTCTAGCAAGGGCCCGACATCAAATGACAGTTGAGGAATGGGGATGATCGCCCGAATAGAAAAAGCATAAACCTTTATCTAACTGGAGGTTATCTATCGTTTAGACTGCAGGGACGGCAAAGCACAAGGATCAAGTCAACACAAGAAATCGTTTCCATTCGCCCAATCTAGCATGAATATTCAACTATTCAACCATTCTGTAGGAGAAATGTAGGAGTGAAATGGCAGGGTAAATAAAAAGAAATGATGTTACTTTGCGTATATAAACGATTAGGCAAACTCAGTAAAGAGTTTAAGGCTTTCACTATCAAGCCCTTGAAAGACTTCATTATTACACAAGACTTGTATGGTGTGGTGCAAGCGGTGACATACTTATACAGAGAACGCGTGTTACATGTAGAAATAAATTCGCTGAAATGTAAAGGAGAGGGGTGAGATCGGCTCAGCAGAATCCAAATAGAAATGCTTTGAAATTTTTAAAAAAATGCACAATAAAATCACGTATCATGCCACTGTGTCAACATAGGTGTACCATACATCTACGTATGAATTTGAAATCTTGGATAAGAAAAGATCAGGAAAGATGGCTCGGGATACACAAATCCAGTGGGGAAGGATATAAGAAAAGACAAAATATTCGACTAAGATGGTTGAGTTAGATTACACTTTCAAGCAGATAACGTTAAAGGTGAGTTTCCTGACTCTGTGAATTGTCTCGGAGACAGGAGAATATAATGAAAGATTAAGGATTAATTACATTTATCTATTTGTTGTCCTTCAGCAAACATGAAGGAACTTGGAAACTTCGTCTTGCTGTCAACATCATCCGCATATGTGACGAGCAAACAATCATCGAAAACAAGCATGAAAACTTTAAGCAGAANCAAAAGACGGAACAGCATCTTGTAGAAACCCTTCAGCAGAAGTTAGAAGAAAAGACTTATGACCATTAAATTTAGTAAACTGTGGGCAATGGATGAAATAATAACATAATATATTGGTTACTTTCGGCTAAATACCCTTCTCAGAGAGAGAGAGAGTATAGATAAGTTTTGCTCTCCCGACACGATTGGATTTGCCACTATAGTCAAAGAAACTCGACCAAACAGCTGTACATTTTCCGTCGAAAGAAGAGGGATGCCAGTGCATCGATAGTTTAGGTGGAGCTACGATAGGTAAATTGGGTCCAATAAGATGCAGCTAGCTGGTAGGACAATTTTTGTTATAAGTTATGTTCCATAAGGTTCAAACAAACAGAGGCGCAAGCAGTGGGAGGAAAATATGGAAATTCCGTTTTTGGAGTAATGCTCTGATAGAAATCATTCTCGAGCAGTCAGGAATACAGTGCTGAGTGAAGCACACGTTGAGCAGGTTAGTAAAACAAGCGAGGGGGACAACACACATTCTTTGAGCACCACAGGAAGCAGTTTATCAGGAGCACAAGGTTTTTTAGACTGCAGACTAATGAAAGCATTCGAAACCTGTGTGGTCTTTAATTAAATAATTCGGTGCACAATCCATTGAGAAAATTGAATATCATCTTCATAGTCGAAATCAGTAACTATAAAACAGGGGTTAATTCATTCTTAATGAGCACTTATCGGCTTAATATCGTCTCACAGTATGCTACGCCCTCGAATGTTATGAAAGATCTAACGAAGTCATAAACCCATGTGCACTTTCCTAGTTCCGAAACATTCAATATATATAGACTTTTGTCACTTCGTATACGCTGTAATCAGAAACATTTTTTGCGGTTTCTGGTTACACACAACTAAGCATAAGTTACTGAATATGCATTTGCAAAGTGTATTTAGTCTTTCAACTGATAAACCAAATTCTAATCACCTTCATTGTTTCCTNGTCGCTTGCTGCCACACCGACAGCGTAATCTACCCATAGGGCGTTTTCACGTGTGACAGAGTGGAGTTAATGAAAGATTCCCGAAAAATCACGTGGCAAGCAAAAGACACCCAGCTGTCGTTGTTGTTGTTGTTGTTGTTGTTGTTGTTGCATCCATTTTTATTCTACCGGAAGTTTGATTCTTGTATACATGAGGAATTCCGGACGCGGATGCGAGCGATGAAACTGGATGCTTCTTGATTTGAGAAATAGAGCATGGTTGAGTCAAGGGTGAACATTAGAAAAGTTCACTGACTAGAGGGCAGATAGTGGATATTCA